ACGTAAAGATTTGTTAGAATTGGGGAACCTGTGGGGATTAGTTTTGAAATTAGAAGGTATAGGACTGGGGGTGTAGCTCAGTGGTGGAGCACTTGCCTAGCATATATGAGGTCCTGACTTTGACTCCTAGTAGTGCACTAAATAAATAAATTACTAAATGAATATAGTTAGCAGATGCTGGCCAAGAATTAAGATTATGTAGAGGTTGCAGTTACCAGTAATGCCATGGAAGTGTGTGGCTAAGTATAATAGAGAACATTCAGAGAAGAGGTTGAAAATCTACAGGATTTTGCTAATGACTGTTCATCAATTCCATAGTGATAGAGTTTTCAGAGGTTGAGAGATGTGACTCCCCTGCTTAGAGCAGAGCACAGGTCATAGCAGATGTTCATTAAATATATGTTGAACAGATGTTATTTGAGTGACAGAATATCTAAGCTATTTCCTGTTGCTTATGTATGCATTGGTTTGCTAAGGAAATATGACAGCATAAATATGGTCAGAATATTGATCAGAATAGAATGTTAGGAATCAGTTGCCCCTTATAGGCAGTTCTGCCCTCTCTGTATGAGTCCAGGGTGCCACCTGGAAGACATGAACCTTTTCTTTGCAGTACTGGGGCTTGAACTTAGGGTCTTCACCTCGAGCCACTCCACCAGCCCTATTTCTGTGAAGGGTTTTTTTGAGATAGGGTCTCACGAACTATTTGCTGGGGCTGGCTTCAAACTCCAGTTGTTCTGATTTCTGCCTCCAAAGTAGCTAGGATTGCAGGTGTGAGCCACTGGCGCCTGGCTAGGCGTAGACTTTAAGTCGCTGGACACAAGCCTGACTCAGCCACAGTGTGTGCCCCTTATCCATATTTGCATTCATTTATTGTGGAATTAATTTCTCGAATAACATAAATAGCCTAATGTTGTCCTTTAACATTTGAATGCCAGTCTCCACCTCATGGGAAGCATGATACAATTGTAACTTTTAATTTTAAACTTTTCTGAAATAAGCAGTTTTCTTATTAACAATGTGAGTAGAAATCCCTCCATGGAAATTTTTCTACCACCAGCATTACCAGAGGCTGTTCCAGAAACGATATTTGATTATTTCTAATTGTTTACCCCTCGAGTAGACAGAGGAGTCATTAAACTTGATTTTCACAATCAGTTTTTTCTCCTTTATTCTTTTGTAAGAGCTATTGTGATATATAAAATTAAACCCATAAGTCTTTTAGTTTCCAATAAATTATTCTCATTATTTAATTACCCTTGATTAGTAGCATTCTTTAATCTTTTTACTGTAGGAATTAGAATATATCATCATGATACCCAGGAATTTTTTCACTATTAACTTTTAATCATATACCTTGAATTCTAGAAGTATTGTGGGGCAGCAGCAAATTGGATAACTTCTACCATATAAGTATTGATTTGTTTGATTTTTAGAATGACTAGGAGGTAAGTATAGTAGTAGTGTGCTCATTTTGATGATGAAAATTATGTCACATGACTGCTACATTGTGAAGTAGAATTTGACTCCAGTTGCTCTGTCCCACAATGTTAATCCCTAATTACCATTGTTCACAAAACTTTAGAGTTCTTTTTGTATTGGTTTGGTCATCATTTTCAGATATTATAAATGATAATAAAAACCCACGTGTGGATTAGCTGACTTCTTCTAGCAGGTGCTTCTTGTCCACTTATGCACAGGCTAGATGCTGAATAAAAAGACAGTCTTGTGGGGAGACACAAATTAATCATACAAAAAGAATTTAATGAAGGTTTCAAAGTTGAAGTACTTGCTATTCTGGCAGGAATTGGTCTAATCATGAAGGTCAGGAAGCTTCTTGAAAGTCAAGGATGTTTTAGAAGAAGTCATAATTCACCTGAGATAAAGTGGAAATGGAAGTTTTGAGCAGGTAAAAAGGGTAGAGAGTAGGAACATGGCATGTACCAAGATCCTGTAGAGAAAAAGAACATGGAGTTTTGAGAAACAAAGACCCCAGAGCAGGTTGTGGCAGGGAGCATGGTGCAACATGAGGCTAGAAAGGATAGCAACATTGAGAATTTTTATTATATATATAATATTCTTAATATTATATTATTCAGAGCAGTGGGAAACCACTGAAATATTTTAAATATGGGAACATTGTGATTGACTTATATTTTGCAAGTTCTGTGTAATATCATGGGAAGTAAAAATAAACTTCCTTAAAAGGAAGGGAGGTGTTGGTAACTTGGACTAAGGAAGGTGGTCATACATAGAAAGTGGATGTTAACTGAAGAATTGTTTAAGAGGAACAGTGTCTAGCCTTAGTGCTGGGTTGGACAATGGGAGAATGAAAGATCATGGATGACTTCTAAGTTTCTGGATTTCCAACAGGGTTGAAGGAGATGCCATTACACTAAAAACCTCTGGACAAAACCCCTCTTTGGAAGGGAGTACCAGGAGTTTCATTTTCAGTCATTCTATTCCATAACTAATGCTAGACACTGTTCTAGGATCTGGGGATTCATTGGTAATCAAGACAAAATTAGTCTCTTCATGGAGTTTCTATTTTCATTGGAAGATATAGACAAATAATTTTTTAAAGATTATTCTGGCCCAGGCCAGCCTGGGCTGCATAGAGAGAACACAAAAACAAAACAAAACAGGGTAATTTCAGGTAGTAGGAAGTGCTGTGAATTATAAAGCTTCAAATAACCTCCGAGGAATGGGTGAGGCTATTGTAGTTTGGGCCATCAGGATAGGCACCCCTGAGGGAGGTAGTAACACTTAAGCTCAGAACTGACTAATAGGGAAGTGGGCCAGTAGAAATCTGTTTTCCAAGTAGAAAGAACTGCAAGTTCAAGTGTTCTTGCCAGGGGCCAAGTTTTAGAAAGTGAAAAGGCTTGTGGCTGGAGCCTATAGGGAGAAGAGGATAGAGGAGGAAATGAGGTTGGAAAGGGAGGTGGGGTGAGGAGTTTGGATGTTATTCTAATGGCATTGGGTGGCCCTTGGAGATCTGAAGCAGCAAAGGAAATAGGATCCAACTTACCAGATGAATGTGTTCATGCTGCTGTATGCAGGGCTGAATGGAAGCAATAAGGACAAATAAGGAGGTGCAGGGCTGGAAAACACCATATAAGCAGTTATGTTGAACCTGGGAACCAACTCCATGAGGTAAAAATATTTTGCAGGTTTAATTCAAGTCTTTTTTTCTTTTACAACAGTAAAACCAAGTTGACAGACATGTCAAACTCTGCTCATATATGTAGAAAAAGAAGAAGAAAACCCCCAACAATTTCCTATTAGTTATTAGTATTATAATGGTGCTTAAAAAGGGAAGATGGATGTCAGTAGCTCACACCTGTAATCCTAGCTACTCAAGAGGCAGAGATCAGGAGGGTCACAGCTTAAAGCCAGCCTGGGCAAATAATTTGTGAGGCCCTATTTCGAAAAAACCTACCACAAAAAAGGGCTGGGGGAGTGGCTCAATGTTTAGGCCCTGAATTCAAACTATAGTACTGCAAAAAAAAAAAAAAAAAAAAAAGTTGGGGGAGGCAGGGGAAGCAAGTGGGAGATCCTGTGGTTTTTACCTAGATCTTGATTTAAAATATGTATTTTTTTTTGTTGAGACCCTAAGCCATTTCCACTTTGAAGCAATCATCTTTTTAATTGCAGAAAATGATACTTCAGGCTAGAAAGCAACGTTTGAATGATGCATAGATAGACTCAGATAATATTTGAAGGCATCAATTACAATGAATGATCAGAAAAGTTTTGAGTGGTATTTGACTTTATTTAGTTTACATTCTTTTGATAAGTAAAATAGTCAGAAACTTTTAGGATAATGATACATTGTCACTGTGGAAAACAGAAAATATTAACCATAGAAAACTAATGGTCTCATACCTACTGTCTAAGGATATCCACTGTTAAATTTTTGAGGTATTTACATGTAGATATATGTTAATGTGTATTGATAGAATAATAATGTCACCATTTTGTGAATCAGCGGCCATTTTATCCTCAGGACTCACTTTTTGAGAACTGGAGCCACCCCCAGGCAGCTCCACCCCTAACGGAGACTCCCGCACATGCCCTAACTTCCTCAAGCTCCCTCTTCTGTAAAAGCCATGCCTAGCCCCAGAGTCAGCGCTGAGCCATCTTTCCCCGGCCAGCCTGACAGCTTGAGCCTGTCATTAAACCTTGCTCTTGGACGTGAGACTTTTCCTGTGAGCTTTCTTTGCGAGTGGCGTTTTTCCTAACATGTATTGTACTATATGTAAGGTTTCATAATCTATTTTTTCTTATTTTGTCCTACATTGTGAACATATTTCTATATCAAGTATCACTTGTCTTTTTAATAAAACTTTATATGCAATCTATAGTTTACTGTAATTTTTAACAATTCTTATTGAAACCTATTTTTTTTCAGATTTGTATTGTTATTTCTTAATTTTTCTATTTTTAAAAAAATTGTGTAACTACTCCCTAAGTATTATTGCAAGGTGAAAGGACACATTTTAAGGTTTTTGCTATGTTTTGCCGGTCTCCTAGAAAGATTACACTCCCAGTAAGTCTAAGGAGAGCGCCAGCACTGGGTATTATTTTATAATCAGTTTTTACAATTTGTTAAGTTAAAACTTAGTACCTCGATGCTTTTACTCTGTAAGTTTTGAATACTAGTGGGGTCGCATGTGTTATCATATTTTCTTATTCATATCTTTTCTGCTTTTTAATTAGGTTTATCTTTTTCTTACTATTTTTAAAGAAATATGTAGCATGACAATAATTCATTGTCAGTCATATATAATTGTCTGTTTTCCCTAAGTTTATCATTAAAAATAATATGCATTTGTTTATATATAGCTGAATCTGTTTAACTGTATTGGTTATGTGCATAAAATTTCCCCCCATGGAGGTTACATAAATTTTCCCTTATTACTTTCCTGGCTGTTTTGTAGTTGGATGTTTGGTTTTGTTATTTATCTACATACATAGGTATTCTTTTTTTTGTCATTTAGAAAGGAAGTCGTGCTATACTGACTTCTCCCACTGCTGGTATAAAAACAATTGATCCTCTACCTTTGCGGGAAGATTCTGAAGTCAATAACCCCAAGTTTGCTGAGGAAACTCTTCCAGTTTCGAAAATTCCAGAACAGCCAACACATACCCCTGCACAGTCACCTTCTCCACCAGATGCCCAGTCCTACTGGCATCCTTCTCGTCGAATTCAGGGATCTCTGATGCATCCAGAATTTCAGCATAATGGTAATTATTTTGGTTTAATTTTTTGTCTTTTAAAACGAACATGTTACACTGCTAGGTAAAATGCTATAAAGATGTACTCCATGTTAATAAATTATTATTATTATTATTTTTTTTAAGTTAATGTTATGGATTTCTTTAAGCAGGACAGAGTTCTCTTTGGGACACTGGATCAGGTGCTGCAGCAACCAAGTTTCCTTTTATAAAGTGTGAGGTGTCTCTCAGGTTCTTATGGACATGTAGGGAACCCACTAGATGCTGTAGCATTGTCTCTTTTCCAGGCATGACAATCAAAAATGTCTTTGGATAATGCCCAGCATTTCTAGGTTTAAAATTTAAGACCTGAAATGATTTTCCTTTGATTTTATTAGGCATTGCTCTGATATTTTCTGACTTCCACTATTACTTTTGAGAAGCGTCATACAGTTTTTATTCATCTTTTGTATGTGGTGTTTCTTTCTGATAGCTTTTGCGATCTTTTATTCACACCCAGTGCGCTGATAACTTTATGATGAGGTATCTGGAAGCAGGTGTCTCCCCATTTTAATGATACTCTGTAGACTTTTCAGGCTGGAAAATTCTTATTTCTGGGAAATTTTCTTAAATAATAATTTCTTCTTGCCAAGAGCCAGTGGCTCATTCCTGAGTAGCTCATCCTAGCTACTCAGGAGGCAGAGATCAGGAGGATCATAGTTTGAAGCCAGCTCAGGCAAATAGTTCGTGAGACCCTATCTCGAAAAAACCCATCACAAAAGAAGGGCTGGTTGGGTGGCTAAGAATGCAGGCCCTGAGTTCAAACCCCAGTACCACACACAGAAAAAAAAAATGGTCTTCATTTCTTCTTCTCTTTCTGGCACTTCTATTATTCAGATGTCCCTATTGGGATTTTCTTTTTTTCTATTTTCCATCTCTGTCTTTGTATTTTAATTTGAGTGTTGCTAATTTTTATCTTTTACCTCTTGGTTTTAAAAAATTTCTATACTTTTTTAGAATGCTGTATATACACTTCATATAGCATCCAATTCTTATTTCATGTAGGTGTTTTGTCTCTTTGAAGACATAAATTATATATGTATATATCTATACACATTACACACATATATCTATAGGTATACATATGAGTAGATAAAATCCCCCTGTTTTGAATATGGTCCTCTTGCTCTCAGGTGAACCTGGTGTCTTTCAGTCACAGTAGTTCTTTTGGGAGAGAGAGAGGCACTTACCCAGCTGTGTGAATTTTAAGAAGAATCTGGTGTCTGTTTTCTAAAATGATTTCCAAGCAGTCACCTGGTTCATCTTATCTTCACTATAACTTTCAGTGGAACAAAGCATTCCACATCTCATGCCATTATGGGACCAAATCGGTCGCTTTTTAATTTCTCTCCTCTGCTGACTTGAGAATTCAGCTTGCTTGGGTAGAATTACTCCTCTTCCATTTTTCTTCCACTTTCTAAGGTTTGGTTGCTGTTTTCTTGTCTTCCATTTTCTTTGTCCTTAAGGCTTATGTCATTTTTTAAATGTGTTTTTAATAAGTCACCTCTCAACAGAAACCTACTATTTTTCTGTAAATTTAAATCAATTTCATTGAAATGAATTTTAGGAGGTTATTTGTAGTTTATGTACTTGCTCAGTACCTTACAAACTAACACGTGGCCCTTTGATAGCAATTTATACCAATATATAAAATTAGTTAATTAAATTTATGATTGTGCACTGTCATTAAGAGTTTACAATAAGTGTATGTTTTGTGCTGCTATGCCAGAAGACTTGAGGATGGGGTAATTTATAATGAACAGAAATTTATTGACTCATGTTTCTGGAGGCTGGGAAATGCAAGATAGAGGGGCTTGCATTTGGTGAAGGCCCTCTTGGCTGCAGAAGGGCAAAGAGAAGGCGAAGGAGGACAAGGAGCAAATTCATTCCTGGGCTAATGGCATTAGTCATTTCTTGAGGACAGAACCCTCATGACCTCTCAAAAGTCCTACCTCCCAATGCCATCTTAACGGCAGTTCAGTTTCACCATTAATATGTGCTCTTGGTGTCTCTAAAGGATAATTTCTTCTTCTTTTTTTTTTTTTCTCAGTGGGAAAGGCAAAGATGAATAATTTCCAGTTGCCTCAGCGTGAAGCCTTTAATGATGAAGGTATTTCGATAGTTAGAGAACATGATGAAAATATGAGGTTCTATTACATGATAGTTTGTTAAGTTTAATTTTACATTTGATTAGCACTTTCTAAAATACTCCTACAGATTTTTTTTATTAGATTCTTGAAACTTTCTGATGGTGTAAAATTATTCCCATTTTACAAATGAATAACCTGGGACCCATGTGGGGAAGAATCATTTTTAGGGCAAACAGACAAAGAAGAGACTGTGTCTTGCCTCACAGCAGAGGCCATTACAGTCTGGGTTTCCATTTGTCTTCCTCAGGCTCAGGAATTTAGCCTAAAATTACATTCATATTTTTTTCAAATGTCTCTATAATTCTTACCAGTTTTCAGTTTTGAAAAAATATGTAATTAGGGAAAATGGACTTTTTTCTCCTGTGCATTTTCTTCTTAGCAAATTCATTTGCTTCTAATAGTGGCAGGAGGAATTTAGAATTCTTGATGTGAACAATCAAAATTACCCTATTGATTCATCCTAAGGAGTATGCAATTACTGAATTTATTAATTTTGCATTGGAAAATAAATTTGAACTTAATATTTTATATAAATTTACATACATTAGATTTTCTTCCTCTTTAGCAAGTTTGGAACTTTTTCTTAATATTTGGTGAGCTAGAAATTAATTTGTTACATTTTGAAATGCAAAATAATTTGGCAATTGTGAATCCAGTCCTGATTTCTTTTTAATGGAAGAACAATATTTGTAAATAACCTTATAATAGATTTGCATCCTCAGAATGGGAAATTTCAGTAATAATGAAGGGGTAGAATGTTATAGTCAACCTTATTTCTACATTTAATGAGATTATTTTATAATTGTGATGTAAGTACCATGTTACGGTGCAGCATTTTGTTTTTAAAAAGTTTAGAAAGCTTTGTGCCCCAAATAACTGTGCTTTTGAAACTAGGACAAGACAGTATCATGATGAATTGTTTCCAAGAAATACTGAAATCATAAGCTGTGTTTAGTTAATGACATTATGGGATTTCAGGAAGGGAAAAAAGTGCTCATTTAACATTAAAGCGTTTGATATCTATATATGATAAACTTGGAAAATTACCATGATCTATCATGAAAACCTTACATCTAATAGATTACATTTTCTGGCAGCCCATCATTGATATTACAAGACTTGATGACTTTGACTGTCTGTTAATGTTATACTAAAAATAATGCTTATTTAGTAGATATTTTTTGCACTGAATCCAGTGTTGGTATTCTTTTGTTGCAGATGAGGACAGATTGTCTGAGATTTCTGCTCGCTCTGCGGCTTCTAGTCTCCGGGCTTTTCAAACTCTGGCACGAGCTCAGAAAAGGAATGAGAGTTTCTGGGGCAAAACATAAACCTAGTTGAATTGTTTTTATCCAAGGAAGCATTGGCATAAGTTTTCTTTATTGCTCACCATGTTAAGCTATTTTGAGTGTTTGAATTTTTCTTCTGACATTTCCAACTTAAATTATTTGGTTTTTCAATAGTTCATTTTACCTGGAAAATGTTAACACAGGGTTATACAAATTTAACTTTTAAAGAATGCTTTTACATTTATCCCAAAATACAAAGGAATAGATGAAATAGTTCCTCACATGTTCTATCTTTTGTATTAGGTATCAGGAATAGCTGGTACAGTTGTGAATTTCCTTCATCCAGAGACTATTCTAAAAAAGATAAAGTGAGGTGAAAATTAAGATCTAAGTGTGGAGTATATATTCCCCCAATACTGGTCCTATGTATCTTTGTAATTGTAGATGTCATGAATTTGTTGTTACTTTTACCTTTTGCTTTAGTGTTTATTTTAGTACCTTCTATACGTGGTTGCAGTGTTATTTAAGATAATTGTACTTTGAAGATACCAGTTGTATATATTTTTCTTATTTATGTAACAAAATTTGCTGAGAGAATATGTATATTTTTGGTCTTTGTGTGTCTTCTATTTGTATAACTTTGGCTTACATTTGAATAATGTCTGGATTTTGAAAAAGAATTTATATAATGGAGAATTAAAACTTTGTAGACATTTTGAAATAAAAATTGATCAAGTGTGTTTGGCTTCTCCAGAAAGTTATTACACGGAATAAATATCTTTTAGGATCATTCCACTGATAACTGCCTAATCAAAAATTATACTTCTTTTGCAGCTATCAAAATGCAATGAAGCTTAGTCTATAACATTTTGGCACAAATACAGAATTTTCAAAGCAGACTAAGTTTTTAGAATTCAACACAAACTTGTTGATTGTATTTCTTTACTCATAGGAAATGTTCTGTTGTCTTACAGTTCATCTTACTAATCATGATAAATTTAAATTTCTAAAAATTACAGATTTTATAAAACATTACATAAAATCTTTGTGATGACAGATAGAAAGTACTTATTATGATCTGGATCTTAAATGTCCACCAAAGCTCATGTTTTGAAAGCTTGGATCCCAGCTGATGGCACTCCTACAGTGGAAACTGTAGGAGGCGGGGCCTAATTGGAGGAAGTAGGTCACTGGGGGTGTGCTTTTGAAGGGTAGATTTTGTTCAGGGCTCCTGGCAGTCATTCACTCTATCTGTTTTCCTGGCCACCATGGTATGAGCAGCTTAGCTCAGCATGAGCTCCCTGCCATACTGTTCTGCCTTATCATGGGCCCAAAGCAATGGAGCTAGCCAACCAACTTCTAAAATTATAAGCCAAAATAAAATTTTCAAGTTGGTTTTCTCAGGTATTTTGTCACAGTCATGAAAAGCTAACTGTAGTACTTAAGATAAAATATACAGAATATTGATACCTATGGTTAGAAAACAAGTGAGTGACCCATTCCAAAGTGCCTAATTTTGTCAAAAGTGCCTTTCAAAGCATTGGTTCACAATAAAATAGTTTGTTAAATAGTTTGTTTTGAGGTTGTAAAGAATGTAGGTGTACAACTATTTACCCACATTGTCCTCTTACCTTTTAAAGTAACTTGGTCATAAAAAATCTTACTACGCAGTACACATGGAAATAAAAGTTTGGAATTAAGGAATAACTTGGTTTTAGAACACAAATTGACTTCTATACAAATGTGTGAGACATATTAATTACAAAACAAGTTTAGAACTTGCTGTCCTTTGACCATAAGCTTAGAAGTATGAATTGTTTTCTTTCTCTTCAGAAGTTGGTTAACCAACTAAACTGTTAGGACCATTTTCAATGGCTGACTACTGATCTCTGGTACAGTACAGACTGTAATGTTTGGGAATACCCAATATGGTGAATCAGGCCGCATGAACTTGATTTACCAGGTGTCAGTTAGATTAGGGTATGGATCTCATAGGCCAATGTCATGACCCTGCTCTTTGACAATTTAGCTCTGAAATATTATACCAACCACCTCTTTCTTAAAAACCACTCAGTGGCTGAGGGGCAAGATCAATAGTGTTGATGAATCCTTACTGTTCCATCTTTTGCACTAGAAGAGCAACTGGAAGGAAATGAATTTGAGTTTATGGGTAAGGTTTTTCTTAATTGCATGAGAATTGTCCCATGCCATTTGTTAGTATTTAGGAGCTGGGATTGCTAGTTCAATTTTGATCAATTTTATTAATGCATCTTTTATGTACAGTAAGTTGAAATAAAGTATAGCTCAATGAGTTTGGACAGATGTATACATCTTATACACCTCTGAAGCCAGTACCACATCACCCTACAAGTTTCCTCATTTTCCCTTTGCAGTCAGTCTGTCCTTCTACCCCTGGTCCCAAAGGCAGCCACTAAGCTGCTTTCTGTCAGTAATTTTAGTTTGGAAAATTTTTATATAAAACTCATCTTTTATGTCTGGCTTTCTCTTAGCATAATATTTTTGAGATTCATGTTTTGGTGTACATGTTCTACCCCTTGGTAGACTTTTGGGTTGTTTGCTATTTGGGACTAGAATGAATAAATCTATTTGTATTTGTGTGTAAGTCCTTGGTGTAGACATAGGCTTTCATTTCTTCTTAGATAACAGTATAGTGAATTTGATCTTTATTCACCTTTAATTTAACTTCTACTTTGAGTGTATGTATACAGTTAGAGTGCACCCAAATCAATATTATAAACTGGTGGCTTGATATTTTTGTCTAAGTTAGTATCTTGCAAACCAGGCTCGGGAATGAACCTCATAATCACAGTGGAAGATTTTTCTAAAATGAACATACTACTCCCCTCTTCACCTCCATCTTCACTCGAGATACTGATGTTCTGTTTCCGTGGTTGAAAACTCAAATAGAAATGCACAAATATATATACGTACATGAGATGTTTTGCAAGTTAATTTTTGGTTTCATCTCTGGATCTTTATAGAAGTTTGATTTCCAACTTAACGCTTGAAGGATGATTTTGAGAACATGAAGTTTGGTACAAGAAATTAATCATAATTACTTTTATTTTATAGATAAGAAAACAGATGACTTCCCCAAGATCTCAACTAGTGAAAAAAATCTAGGTCTTCATACTCTACCCACACTACCTCCTTTGAAGTATTTATGCTAAAATTTAAGATTACTGTGATTCAGTTCTCTTTGACTCTTTGGTTGATTCATTTGGGAGGTAATCTTTTTTGCCTTCTTGGAAGATAAATATCTACCTTTCCTTTCTAGTCAGGAAAACAGAGAATGTGGGCCCTGAATCATTGCACAAATGGATTCCACCAGAATGAAAGTGAGTTGATGTGCAAAGCAAATTTGTCCTTTTATAGAGCAGTATTGAAGTTGGCCACCCAAGAAACTAAAGGATAGATTATGTACCTTTGTTGTAGTTGAATGTGCATATAATAAACAGCCAAAAATGTTTATCTTGACTTCTAGAAGTTTACCAAAGAAATAAAAACAATCTAAAATGGTAGGTGATCTTAGAACCATTTATGTTTGGTATTGGACTATGCTTTTGGTACTTGGAGCTCAGTATTTGTTAAACTGCCATAATCATTGTTTCCCACAGCCATTATGCTGTAAAGGCTACTCCAGACCAAGGAGCAGTCTCTGCCATTGGACAGCTAGAATTGTGCCGCCCTTTGCCCGGTCACGGCTTGTCTTTCCTGCTTACCTTGTGGATTGAAAGCAGGCCACTGGTCTCTGGTTCTGTGCCAATGGACTTTCATGGTAGGGCTGACTGACCACTAATCTAAGCATGTCTTTTTTTCCTGTGGTGAGTGAAGGCACAGAAAAAGACCCAGCTGTTTGCTCTCAGACTCAGATCAAAGCTTCCTTAAGCCCCATGTCCTGTTTCATTCCCACCTTGGTGCTTTCAGGCAGGGACAGCTCCCCCATCCTACTAGCCCTGCCACGCAGCAGGTTAGTATGAAAGAGCAGTCATCCTAAAGTTGGCATCCATTTGTCTCACCAAGGGCTCAGCCACTAGTCACATCCAAAGCTTCCATCATGCCTCAGATCCCTATCAGAGCATTTCCTGGGAAACTGAGAAATTTGGATTTGGGGAACACTGAATTGTCTTTGAAAGTCAAAGCCTGAGGCCAATGGGAAGAGTCATGTTTGAAGAGTTCACACAAATTCAGATCACACAATGATTTAGATTATACTGATAAATTGTTCATTTCCCTTCCCTCTATATTCTATGCCTAGTAGTATGCTGGATCTCGCTCAGGGGCCTATCATTAAACATCCAGAAATTTTGTAAGGTTGTTAAAGCATCAATCGTTTGAAACTGGCCACAGCAGGAGTATTTGTCCCAGTGAAATCAGAAAGCATTATAAATTAGGGCTTTCCTCCCCTACACCCCAGAGGCAGTTTACAAATTTACTACTGCAGGACTTCATCACTCTCCTAATCTTTCTGTATCATTTGCCTGATGGAAAAGATAATGTACTTTAGAAAGGTGGTAAGAGGCAGCTCAGGATAAGTGGCTAAAGATTTGTTAGACCATTCATGTCTTTCTTGGTTTAAAAACATAGTTTGGCTTAGTTTCCTTTTGTGGCTGATACCCACCTAGAAAATATAAATAAGCCACACATAATGGACTTATAGAGGGAGACAACCCATGATAGACCCATGAGAATGTCCAGAGATGGACCTGGAATCTATATAGTCTTCCAGATAAATCTGATAGTTTGGGAACCATTGGCTTTGGGGTTATGATAATCTGTGGTCCAATCCCAACTCTACCTCAAACAAGCTTGTTCAAATTAAGTTTGAGTCCCTCATCTTGCATAAAGATAGTAGTTAGCTCGCCCATTTGGTTTTAAGATTAAATAGCATAAAGTCTAAAAAGGTATTTTATATATGCTATTCAAATGTTCAGTCTAAAACATTGGTTTTATTATGCTAACAAATTTTTATTAAAACAATAGGAACAAGTTCAGAGAGCCAGCAGGAGACAAGCCTGAAATTCTGGCATCTCTCATCATAGATCTGTCTTT